GAGACCGCATTGATATAATTTCTGCGACCGCGGAGTGGAAGGACAGCAGTGACCGGACGTGTGTGACAGCCCCGCCGGGCCGGTCGGGCCAGCACGCGCTGACAGTTGCTGACAGTCTGCCTGTGTGACTGTCACCACAACTGACAGATCGGCTGGCCATGCCAGCGTGACACGCATGTCACTCCGCAACTTCCGTCAGCTCAGATAACTACATAGACGAGGCAGTCGGCAGGCCTCGCATTGCTTGGCATTGTCTTGAACATGACACAGGCACCCAACAGAAATACTTGTGAGTAAAATAATGCAATATTCGATGGTTATTTTAGACACGTTCAAATATTGTAAGAAAATACAAAGCTCGATGCTAATGCATATGATCAATGCATTTTAGGACCTTTTATCCCGCACTGTAGGCAGTGTTTACAAATGCTTGATGTGCAAAGAGAGAAAATTATCAGATATCGTTTAACTGATTTGTTAAACGTATAGTCTTAAACGTCTAGTAGACATTTCGTCTAGCCTGAAATATGTCGTATTTTTTATACATAAAATGTATTTTTTACCTTTAAGCGCCCGACATATACCGGCGGTACGGGATAAAATCATTAAACCGCTTGAAGGTAGAAGAATCTTTTAAACGTCTCGCCTATCGGCTCGACGTTTAAAAGATTTGTTCTACCTACTCGCGGTTTAATATATGTACATTGTACATGTATGTATGTATGTAATGCATATATTGTCCACTTCACTAGCATGCCATTATCGTTTGTCACTTGTCGGTAATATGCTATTATACTATCGTGTCTTATCAGCTAACTTATATCCGCCAGTACTAATTGCTAGGGACTGACATCTTGGCAACTGATGCCAGGCAGTGGACCACCATTTGCTGCTACGACAGCCGGATTTCTCATTTTTACACGCCAGCGGAACTTAGCAAACTCGCCTGTGTAATAATGGCTTGCTAAGCCATCCCGCTCAATGAGCAATGTCTGCAGCGAAGCTACTTACTTGATGCAAACCTTTGCAGCAGCTCGAGATGACCCGACGATGCGTCGTCTTCTATCTGAAGCGCTGTGTTGGTGTGTGACGTCATATCATCTAGTGTTTTGCAGATGACGTGATGTTGTGACCCTTGGATACATCTATACGCATGCAAGTAAGCATGCTTCTATCGAACTGTTGTGAAAAATAGCTGGGCAAAAAAAAAAACGAAATTAGATACAGCTGGCAAGCTGCGTTTGAAACCGTGAGATCACTGAGCAGTGCGTCAAAACATAGCAATCGTTCGCGACACCTAAAACAATGTTTCCCAGCCGCTCATCTGGCAGTGCCGAGATCCCGTGGCGGGCAGGTCGCCAGCCGTCGGTCGTCGCCGTCGACGATCACGTTATCGGCTTGACACAGTGCCTGTCTTACGTCCGCTGTCCAGAGGTCGCGTGTCGTTCGGCTTGCTCCTCTGTCTGCCATGCGGACTGGGTGGGCAGTCTGGGCTGCTGTGAGGGACGAGAGGTGCTCTGAGAGTTGTAACAGCCGAACCAATTGCCGTCAAACACTGTCGATCGGTATAAGTCAATTGTGAATTGTGTAGACTGTGAATTTCATCCAGCGGATATGCAGGACCAGGGCAAAAATTGCTAAATAAGGTCGATATACATTGCACAAACACCAATACAAGAAGTGTTTCCTGGAATTATATAAGAACTTTATCACTTCTGAAATTATGCAATATTAATTATTCAGTAAAGGTATTGAGGTTTAAACACCATGACTGCGGACCCCAATATTGACAACGTTAAGTGTTTCTTTATATACAAAGCTGTCAAAACCGAAAGGCTACAGACCAGACACCAGGGGAGAAAACAAAGCCAAGCCCGATAACTGTCACTCATCTCAACATCTGTTTCCTCCCACAACACAGCCCCACCGTCTCACCCCTTCCGACTTCCGTGGCGACTGGCGAGTCACTGGAATGCGATCGAAACGGTGCCAACTGCAGCAGGCGTTGGGCGTTTACAATGGCTTCACCGCGGCGGCCGCCGGTTGCCGCACTATGGCTGACAGCTAGTGCCGGCTGCCGGAGGTTGGATCAACAGACAGGGGAGGCAAACACACCGAGCCCGCGGGAGGGGGGGGGGGGCTCGGGAGAGGGTGACTGTGTCACAGGTGAGGAGGCACTGGACGGTCGGGATGGGACGAGTGACCCAGTCGGTCAGGGCCCGGCAGGAATACTGTAGCGGGCATTGGCGGGCATCCTGACCGGGACAGCTGGTCATGAATGTATGTGTTCGCCGTGGCTCCGACTGGCGTCTCGCGAAAGCCGAACTACATAGTACGCGCTCGTCTGAGTGTTTGAGATTGTGTTGCCAACACAATGAGGCCTACGATAACACGGGCAGCGAGGTCAAAATCTTGTCAGCGAGATTAATGCATAATGCATTTAAAACTTAAATCGTGCTTAAATCCAGTCCTTAAGCACCCGAACCAAAACTCCAATTGGCAATTGTGGAGATACATCCGAGCCGCGCTGCTTATTGGCTTGCTTTTTTTAAGCGCTTGAATTGACGGTCGATTTCCTCTGAATATGTTTCGGTATGTTGGCATGACATCTTCCTTGTGTTGTCAGGGAAGTGAATCCAATATCCATCCGGTTCGTATTCGTGTTTGTCAGTCCGTCTTTGTCCGTGCCACGACTGAGCCAGACTTTTGTCAGTGTAGTGCAACGCATGTGGTGTTCGCCTTCGCTGACCTCACCTGGGCCAGCTTAGATCACCTCATGTCATGTCATGTAATCTGGGAGAGACAGTGAAGCGGTTCGGTTACAGGGCCGCGCCGCGTCAGAATGCGTCGGGCGCGGAGCACGAAGACGGGCGGGCCGGATGAAGGTGATTCTCTTTAAGTCTCTCTCCGAGTTGAGGAATCGAATTTTAAAAATTTGAATAGAAGGGCAGGTGTTAGATTTGCTTAGGGGAAGCCGGGGGAAGCCCGGCATAGTAAGCTCTTTTTCATTTTTATGACATACCATGCGTGATGTATAAAATGTTAATATCCTGTTAGCTAGATAAGTTAATTGGCCGTGTTGTCCCAAAAACTTGTTTTTGTGGAAACAGTATAAAGTTGCGAAATTCGAGTTTTAAAAAAGTATTAATTTTCTGGGGTAAGCCCGGCATAGGGGTAACGCCGGCCACCTCTCCAGCGCTTTACAACGAGTTGAAACCATTATGTGTATTCCAAATATTGACAGAAAGTGAAATATTAACCCTCGCCCGTATAGGGGGGGGGGGGTCGAACGGACCCCCCCATGGTTTTTCGCGAATAACTCACGTAAAAAGCGGCCGATCGCGACGAAACTTTCAGTACCCTCGCGTTATTCAACTTTACACCTACCCTGAAAATTTCATGACCCTGACCCAAATGACCTTTGACCTGTGACCTACTTTTCGAGACCATGTTTGGCCAGAATCGCGATTCGGCGTATGTCGGCTCGCATTAGCGGCGCGTTTGCAGTCTTTTCGTGGTTTCAAGCGTTCAAACATGTGATATGGTGTTGCCCCCATGCATTGGGGTGGGTGTCAAGGTCACCTGAACTTGAAGGCCAGGTCAGGTCATTGACCTTTGATGAACTCGGTTCACTTTTTCGAGTTTTACATGTTTCTAGGCCAATTTTTGGAGCTGAATTCGAATTTAGCAACCATATGAACATTTACGAAGTAGTTTTGGTGCCTTCGTAACATGTTACGAAGCTGTCAGAGGCGGTTGACACCTACTAGGAATACCCGGTAGGACCCCTACTGGTTGAACTGACCTGACCTGACCCGACCTGGACTAAATGCATGAAGACATCATCTGTGATCAAAACTAACATGATATTCGTGATCAGCACCCCGAAAAAACCCCATAGCAGCCACACTTTACGACGTTCTAACAGGTCCCGATTTTCCCGACTTTTGGGTCATTGACCTGACCTGCAAGGTCAACCAATGACCTAGGACCTTAAAATTGGGTATCATCGGCTCCCTCTCGTCACGGGCAACACGCTCGTTTTTTCCGCGAAGCTCTAGCTCGATCAGGGGCGAAACGGCAAGGGGGGTCCAACGGACCCCCCCCCCCTTATGGCCTTATACGTTCGCGGGTGGAAAAACACCAATACGGGCGAGGGTTAAGGTACTGTTTAGCTCTGGACATCTTAGAGTTTATGTCACTACTGGTATTTTAGCTAGCGTCTATCACATATAGAGCACAGAGGCCTCTTGAGTCTTGCACCAAAATCCTCTTGCACCAATGCTTGGATTATTTTGCATCGTATACCCAGTCCAAGTTTCAAATGTAACAATTTGTGTGCAAAATTTAGCAAGCACATGTAGGACTATGTATTGGGCTATTGCAAACAAATTTACCACCGTTAGATTAGCTTATTCTGAAACCGTTTTTCGATTTTACCTAGCTAGGTAGTTTGGTGCAAGAGGCCTCAGGTGACTCAGGTCGATGAAAATCGTGATGCAAAATTGACAAAAAAATGTGTATTTCAAAATTCTTTAAAATTTATCTTTTTATTTACCAAAATGCATCATATTGCATATCATTCGACTCGGCTGATGAAGAAGAACAAAACGACTCGTTTTTTTGAAGCTCTAGCTTCATTGTCTGTCGCGTTATCTGCAAAAACGTAGTTTGACCCTAGTTGACCTCAAGTGACATGACTGTTCTTGTAGCATACTTCCTGAGTGATTGTCCAGACGTATATAGGCCCTGTAACGTATTTGTTAGAATCTTGAATAGGTTTGAGTGATCAAGATTCCTTTACTAGTCTTTACTAGTAACCTTTACGTGAGTGGTAGCGTTGGTGCCACTGAACTCTATAATGGTTGGTGCAGATCCAGCAGTGAAATAGTGCTGTCCAATGGGCAATGCATTACATATTGCAGTGCTTTAGTTGCCATATTTCGGCGTATCATGCGCACTTGCTACAATCTGCGCCACACGGAGCGAGCGCCTTTGCACATTGATTTCAATCTGTTGTTCACGGTATAACTGCGGTAGCCTCTGCGTTGTTGGTTATCTCATCTTTGATCTTTGCAAGTCAAAGTAGGGGGTTGAGTAAATTGCTTCCCTGGTTTTTACGAAGTTTTCCTAATTGAGAACATGCCTGAAGTGGATCTTGAGCATTGCTTGTCGACGGCACTCAAACTGGCTCGGCAGGCTGGAAAGGTAAGTTGTTTTTTTTTAAGCAAAATGTATGTTTTATGCAATTTTCTGCTGTTGTCATGCAGCACACGAATATGTGGAACTTTTCCAGGACTAAGCACAACTGTTGACTTGTCGGTATTAGTAGAGCAGACGTCACACGAAGGTTTTCCAACCAAGGAGAGGCGCTGTAGGTTTCAGTAGGCGGAACTATGGTCAAGCGTACCCATTTTCGGGAACGCATTTTCGTTCCCATGTTTGGGAACGATAAACCCAAATATGGGAACGCCATGTAGGCATTATTTAAAACAAGAAAAAGAACCGTTAAATGACGTCCAAAAAATATAAAACGATCGTGAACCACCTGATATTTGTCTCAATATTGTTGCGAAAGAGTTTGCTTTTGTAAGGGCCATCGTAGTTTCAAATCGTTCCCCTATTTCTAAAGCAGTCCATCATCCGGGCCGCGAGCCCAAATTTGGGAACGCTCTCGTACACTGGCGCTGCAAGCGTTCCTTATTATGGGAACGGCGTACCCAAAATTGGGAACGATTTCACCGACGCCTTTCAGGGGCTCTTTTCATTAACAAGCATCACGTCCAACGCCGCAAATTATTGTTAACGCAACAATCATCAGATGACCTTTCCGGCAAGACCGTCGCATGTTTCGCCCGGTCTTCTGCGCTTTTATTCCCGTCGATCTTGCAGCGGGCACGCCCCCCTCTGCAGGATTACGTAATTCACAACGCTCAGCGATGTTCAACAAGGTCTTCCATACCTATATCCACCGTCCGCGCCGAGGGTGGAGACATGTCAAGCACCTGTCTGTTTATCACCGATAGTTGACGAGCACAAGGAAGTATCCAAAAATGGGAACGCTGAAATGTTTCACTCTCAAAACACCTAGTCCCAATATAAATCTACTTTTTTCCTTTCTTAATGAGTGTAAGTGGCAAAAAGCCTGGTAGGATGGGCACGAGAAATGATCAAAATCAGCATAAAAATTATGAATAAGCCACACAGGGCGACCTGCATAAAAGAAATTCCCCCAAAACGATCGTGCTTAAAAATACCGAAGGCAAAAACCACGCTCATGACGCTCCTTAAAAGCAACGCTAAACAGCTAGCATCCAAATAAAATATGTCTTTCAGGGTTGATAAAATACAGCTGGATAATTTTCAACCGCTTAAACTGAGTTTACAACAGTAGCTCGGTAAATTCACTCACGTTCCACGCGGTCGTCCGCCCCGACACCAAAAGTCAACAATATTACCGCGGGACCGTCCGCGTCTTCGCTTGCATTTGTCAGCATCTGGTGTCGATAGTATGAAAGTTCATAACCAGGCGAAAATTATTATACTTTACCTCAAACTAAAAAATGTTTCATTTTCCTTAAAATTGCATGTTAAATGTCGTATAACCCATATTTCCACCATTCTGTCATTTTCAAAAAATCATTAAAAATATCATTCCACGGTCAATTTCCTTGTTCCACGGTCAGATTAAAGATAACTTTATGGAGATTTAGTAGATACTTAAATCAGCGTGCACTTTTTTGAGACGTGATGCACTTTTGAGTTTTAGTGGGAGAACGGCCGAAAAATTGCCTTCCGTTCTCATAAATGGGAACGCCCGTTCCCATATTTGGGAATTCCGTTCCCAAAAATGGGAACGTTCCTATATTTGGGTACTCATGACCATAGTTCCGCCTACTGGTTTGTAGGTTGTAGGGTAGGTTTGTAGGTTGTAGGTTGTAGGTTTTTAGGTTGTAGGTTAGGTTAGGTCAGGTTAGGTTAGGTTTGTTTAGGTTTTGTTAGAAAGAAGTACCTCCAGGCATAGCACCTCTCCTTGGATGGAAAACCTTCGTGTGACGTCTGCTCTACTAATACCGACTTGTCTTTGTTACATTTTTATAATTGTCATTGAAAGATTTCAATCTAGGGGACATTTAGGAAATATGCTTTCAACTGCACAGTACAAGTACACATTGGTCAACATTCATTTAGTGTTCATTTATTCAGGTCACGTTTGACCCAATGAGTCAGGGTAGTAGTAAAGCAGGCATCACACTCGTCATTAGGCTAGGTTGTAGGTTGTAGGTTGTAGGTAAGGTTAGGTCAGGTTTGGTTTGGTTTAGTTTGGTTTGGTTAGAAAGCATCTCTGTGTATATTGCCTCTCCTTGGTAGCAAAAAACAAGTGTGATGCCTGCTTTACAGCTATCTGAGTCAGACTCAGTCAAGTCATTGAGAAGCAAAAGGTGTGTTTCTGTGATGTGTGTTGAGGAACTCTGGAGTGCAGCTGGCAGCATCTTGTAGACTTATAGCCTGCAGGCTGCCATTGGCCGGGGATATGTTCATGAGCAGGGTAAATGCAAATTACTGACAGATCACATTGCTGAGCAAACAGGAAATTCTGATCCTGATGCTGATACACATTTATTTGCTCATGTATTTGAGGTCATTTGATTGTATAACATAGCTGATAACTAAATTTTCTTTCCTAAGAATTTGTTTACAGGCTGAATTTGAAAATGTTATGTACCTGTGATTTGTTTCACCACAATATGTAGCTGTTGAGTTTCAGCTACTTATCTGATTGGATTCCAATCAGAAATCCTGAATGAGTGCTGGCCACGGACGTATAAATAAACTGGACTGACAATCCCAATGGACCTCCTGTGGAAGATAGTGAAGCCGACAAGGCGCCATTTTACGTTGCCAAAAAACCGTGCTCTGGAAGGTCATCGAGCCAATACAATTAGAATTGCGTCCAAACGGATGATCGGATCGAGATGCTGGTGGTACACTCGGGGGCAGATTGGTGTTCCACCACTCCCTACTCATCGGGCGATCCTATGGCTCACACTGGCTGCAGCCAGTGTTGCCTGCCCTCAGCACTGCTCAGCACTGCCTGCCAGTGCCATTGCTGCCAATGCTGCCACTGGCAGCAGCCAGTGCTGAGCCATGGGAGCCCGATTGGTAGGGAGTGGTGGAACATCAATCTGCCCCCGAGTGTACCGTTCGACGGGTAATTCCTTGAGGCAGGTGATGATGGATGTCACATGTCACCCGGTGTCACATGGCGCGTGCCACGTGCCGACAAACTTACAAAGGGCAAAAACTTTTAAGCGACGCTTCAAATCAAACGAAGGGCGGCACAGGTGCCAAACTCACAGGTCACATGTCCCAGTGTTCGACCACTAACATATGGTATGCTCGGCATCAGGGGGTGCGGAATGCACGCGCTAGTGGCGAAAAACATGTTTTGAGGAGGCATCCTCCGATTCCGGAAAACCTTGACCTAGGCACACCAAATTTGGCACACTGACACCACTGGACACGCGCTTTAAGGCGCTGTGCAAATAGATGTGCTGGGGTACACGGTGCACGTGCTGTGCACATGCAAACCTTTTGATGTTGCACTCTGTGTCACATATACGGGCAGAGCAGGTAGCGCTGGCAAGCTCAAAGTGCCAAATTTACACAGGCCACCCAGAATGCATTCTAGCATAGTTATTGAGCATATCTATCTCCTGGTGGATCCCAAAGGTGCGCTCTGCACGTGCAAAAAAACTATCCGCGCCGGGCGGTGGGGATGCTTGGACACCCTATGTGGATTTATGTAAATATCTCGAAAACGGCGTTGTGTAGCGCCGCCGTTTTTGGCACACCTTTTCATACATCTTTTTCGCAAATGCTGCATAACTTTAAGACTTAGGTCGCTCAAGGTTAGGTCTCCAGGTTACGTGCAAGTGGCCTTACCTTAGAAAAAATTATAATGCCCGTCATAGCTACCCATACTATACAATCGGCTTAAAACGTGCAGCAATTGATAAGATCAACAGTATATACGTAGAGTACCTACCTCTACCTCGAAATTTCAATATCACTGACCTAGGGTTCTGTTGCTTTGCGACCTCAGACCACCAGCACGGCAAATCATTTATTTTGTCAAATTCGGGCTCCTAAACTTTATGCTACCCAGCAACGCAAATTTACGCCTCAATCGCCGGCCAGCGCAGCATAGGCATCTTTGTTACCTACGTTGTTTGCGCCTGCAGTAATACTGTACCGCAATAACCATTATCTTCATCTTTCACCCATAGATGGCAGTAGCAAAGCGCCTGCATCTATGCTGTGCCGCAGTGCTCTTACAATACGAGCTGAGCAATGAGCATTGAGCAAGCAAGTGATATTGAAATCATAGGCGGCGGAACGAGGGGGGCACGGGGGCACCGTGCCCCCTTTGATTTTGGCATTTTAGTTGCATGGAAAGAATGGGACCAAAAGTCGGCAGTGCCCCCCCCCCCTTCAATTGAAGGTGTTCCGCCGCCACTGATTGAAATTCCGAGGTAGAGGTACTCTACGTATATACTGTTGCTCTTATCAATCGCTGCACGTTTTAAACCGATTGTTCAGTCTGTGTAGCTATGACGGGCACTATAAATTTTCCTAAGGTAAGGTCACTTGGACGTAACCTGATGACCTAACCTTGAGTGACCTAAGTCTGAAAGTTACGCAGCATGTGTGAAAAAGATGTATGAAAAGGTGTGCCAAAAACGGCGGCGCTACACAACGCTGTTTTCGCGATATTTACATAAATCCACATAGGGTGTCCAAGCATCCCCACCGCCCGGCGCGGATAATTTTTTGCACGTGCAGAGCGCACCTTTGGGGGCCACCAGGAGATGGATATGCTCAATAACTATGCTAGAATGCATTCTGGGTGGCCTGTGTAAATTTGGCACTTTGAGCTTGCCAGCGCTACCCGCCCTACCCGCATATGTGCCACAGAGTGCAACATCAAAAGGTTTGCACGTGCACAGCACGTGCACCGTGTACCCCAGCATGCCTATTTGTACAGCACCTTAAAGCGCGTGTCCAGTAGTGTCAGTGTGCCAAATTTGGTGTGCCTAGGTCAAGGTTTTCCGGAATCGGAGGATGCCTCCTCAAAACATGTTTTTCGCCACTAGCGCGTGCATTCCGCACCCCCTGATGCCGAACATACCATATGTTAGTGGTCGAAAACTGGGACATGTGACCTGTGAGTTTGGCACCTGTGCCGCCCTTCGTTTGATTTGAAGCGTCGCTTAAAGGTTTTTGCCCTTTGTAAGTTTGTCGGCACGTGGCACGCGCCATGTGACACCGGGTGACATGTGACATCCATCATCACCTGCCTCAAGGAATTACCCGTCGAACGGTACCACCAGCATCTCGATCCGATCATCCGTTTGGACGCAATTCTAATTGTATTGGCTCGATGACCTTCCAGAGCACGGTTTTTTGGCAACGTAAAATGGCGCCTTGTCGGCTTCACCTGAATGGAGGTGGTTGCGGGTCCAGTTTATTTATACGTCCGTGGTGCTGGCTCATGCAATATTGATCTTCTATCTTGGGCCATCAGATGATCAAAGATGCCTTCAAAAAGAAGAAAAATGTGACATGCAAGTCATCTCCTCGTGATTTAGTAACAGAAACAGATACTGCTGTTGAAGAGTTTCTCTTCTCTGAGCTGAGAAAAGTGTATGCTGACCACAGGTATGAAAAATATGATTCTTAATCTTAATTTTTTCAGTTTTTAATTTTATTTTGAACAAATGTTTGTTCAACTATAAGCGAATTAAGAATAATTATATCAATACTGCGTGTAAAATGATATATGCTGGATACCTGCTATATGGCTGTGTGACTTGTTCCTTAACTGCCTTTATCCCATGATGAAAGCTAGTTTACTGACTATATTTGGAAGCTAAATGTTTGGCTTTCCTTTGACTTGCATAGATTCAAGTGTGCACAGCTGCCTTCATAAGTTATCACAGGCTCAGGCGACTTTGATTTGAATAGCATTGTCAGTACCAATCAGCAGCAGCAAGCTTCTTGCAGGCCTCCAAGGGTACCGAGCATGTCTTCCCTTGATGAATAGTCATTCCTTTCTGTGTTATTACCTACTGCGACTATAGTTCTCACAGCTGCCGTTCCGTTTGCTCTGCCGTGCAGATACATTGGCGAGGAGTCGGTCTCGTTAGACGGTGAGAAGGTGGAGCTCACCGATGACCCGACCTGGATCATCGATCCCGTGGACGGCACCATGAACTTCGTGCACAGCTTTCCGTTCATCTGCGTTTCTATCGGTGAGGAAACCGCCGGGCTGGATGTAATTCGTGAATGAACTCAAACGTGTATTGCGACGATTGTGTGAGGCCAGCTTCATGTAGCAGTATACCATTGGCATGCTTGGATCAGATGTGTCCAGGGTCAGAAATTGGTACTGTGTATCGGGATCCTGCTCGGTTCATTAGTCGGCCGAGTCTGAACGGCTTATGGGTTATGACATCGATTGATATCGATACAGCCCGCCGTACCGATCGCCGTGGTCCGGCTGCTCGGTTTGACCTCCCTGCCATCTGCCGGGACGTACTCGTACCGAAGCTTTTCCGTTGGTCGTCGTGGTGGCTACACACTGCACTAAGCAGAGTAGGCTAGGATCAAGGCCGTGTAAGAGGACGTCGCTAGTACGAGTACGTTACTGGAGTAGGTCGCTGCTATCAGAACATGTTATGTCCTTTCATCGGTCTTGCTGGAATAGACGCTGCGATCACAGGATCGCCAGCCCTTCAAACATTCACGTGGAATGTATCCTCAGAGTCAGAGTGTCGCGTCGTTCGTCTAGTGTGTTGCGTCAGCGTATACCCACGGGCACGGAACCTTTGAATGTCGCCAGCTGATATTTCTATTTCTGTTGCAGGTCTAACGGTGAATAAGGAGCCAGTGGTGGGCGTCATTTATAACCCGGTACTGGACCATATGTACCACGCACGGAAGGGCTGCGGAGCCTTCCTCAATAATCAGAAGATATCCGCCTCTGGGGAAACTGGTATGCACGTCCTATGACTGTGTAATTATTGCTTTCTGTCATATCAAGGTGTTTGAGTGCCTATCAACAACATTGTGCTATAAGAAGAACGTAGTTTTGAGCGCCGTGTTTTTTCAATTGTGTTTTATCCAGGTAATCACTTAATTGTAAATAGTTTCTTTTCAATAGCATCGCCATAGAAAATTGTATTTTTCTTCGTTTTGGTTGGTCATGCATCTAATTGTTTGCATCTTTTTTGTTTCAGATCTCAGCAAGGCCCTCGTTATAGGGGAGATGGGATCAAGTGAGATTGCCGAGAAAAGAGAATGTGTGTACCACAATGCTAAGACTATGATGGAGAAAGCTCACGGGTAAGTCTTTCTTAGAGATAAGATAAGCCACTGATCATCATTTTATCATTTCTTCAATGTCGTTACATGATTTAAAACAATGCTTTTTATGCTGTTTGGGCTCAAATTAGTTATGGTCAAATAGTGCTTGCGAAAATGCTTCCTTCGAATTCAAGAGAAACAAGGTTCACTGACCGTGAACAAATCAACTGCACTGGCTCTTATCTTTGCTCTGTTTTATCAGTTGTTGAGTTAACAGTTGTGCTGGTGAGCGTGGTGACAACAGTTCTGCCTCCCCCTGAACAAACCGTGCCCCGCATTATCTATGTACATAAGTTTGTAAACTGCTCCACTTTTTGGTCACTGTCCTGTTTCCGTCAGTCCCACTTGTGCTCTGTAAGCTCGCTGTTTTCTGACTGGTCTCTGGACGAAAGAACTCGCCGCTAACCTGACCTCACCATTCACCAGTGTCCTGTTCGCGACCCTAGTGACCTGTGGCCTGATCTGGGCACATCAGAAATCGCTGACATGGCGAAGACTGCGACCCGATTGTAAATCACCCGACTGACGTGATCCTTTCCTGCCTGCTCCCGACCGACCTCTGTCCTACCCACTGCCCCGACTGACCTGTGACCTGTCCTACCCACTTCCCGACTGACCCTTACCTACCCTACCCTATGCCCAGCTAACTTCTGTCCTACCCACTGACCCGACTGTCCCTGTGTCCTGTCCTACCCACTGCGCCGACTGACCTATGACCCGTCCTGTCCTACCCACTGCGCCGACTGACCCGCCGGCGGCCCGTGCAGGTTCCGCTGCCCGGGCTCGGCCGCGCTCAACATGTGTCTGGTCGCGGAGGGCGCTAGCGAGGTGTGCTACTACATGGGAATCCACTGCTGGGACGTGGCCGCCGGCGCGGTGGTCTGCCGAGAGGCTGGCGCTGTGGTGCTCGACACAGCAGGTACGCTGCCGGTGTGTGTAACCTCAGGTGGGGTCCTCCTCTCCCGCGCGGCAGGTTCCGCTGCCCCGGCTCGGCGGCGCTCAACATGTGCCTCGTGGCCACCGGGGCGGGTGACGTGTGCTACACGATGGGTATCCACTGCTGGGACGTGGCCGCCGGCGCCGTGGTCTGCCGCGAGGCCGGCGCCGCGGTGCTGGACACGGCAGGTGGGTGGGACACAGCGCGCCGGACCGCTGACGCTCCAACAGGTGCCTGCGCTGTCTTCCCTTGTTTAGAACTAGAGCATGAGGACTACAAGACCAATATATTTCGATTTTTGGTCATCAGCGAGGCAGTGACACGTTTGTCTTGCTATTGGGCATGCATATGCACGCGTTAGTCAATTACTTGATTTTACTTACTAGCAGCCCTATGTATTAGCCGAACGTTTTTTTTTTTCGATTTTCTTCTAATACTGAAGGTGACGTCGGTCATGTACCATGCACTTTCTCATAGGTTCTTTTGAATCACGGGGGTTATTGGTCACATAGCCGCAGAAAAGAAACGTGGACATTAGCTTAAATGCTCAAGCAAGTTGTATAGATCTACGTGAGCTGGGCAGTAAGCACACTTAAGTACGCTGTACGGTATACAAGTGTAGTTAGTGTACGTACGGTGTATGCGTGGGCTGACGGCCTTTTTACTTACTTTGCTGGCGACACTGTCCCAGGCGTGTGTCGACGATCAGAGCGAGTTTGACTTCCTGTCCCGCCGACAGGTGGCGCGTTTGACCTGCTGTCCCCCCCCCCCCCCCCGGCAGTTTGAACTGCCTCCCCCCGACAGGTGGCGCGTTTGACCTGCTGTCCCCCCGGCAGTTTGTACTGCTGCCCCCCCCCCCCCGACAGGTGGGCAGTTTGACCTGCTGCCCCGCCGACATATGCTATGAGTTTGACCTGCTGTCCCCCGTTTACAGGTGCCGAGTTTGACCTACTGTCCCCGTTTACAGGTGGGGAATTTGACCTGCTGTCGCGCCGGGTGCTGTGCGCCAGCTCGCCGTCTCTGGGTCAGGAGGTGGCCTCCCTGCTCCACCAGTACCAGCCGCCGCGCGACTAGGGACCTCTTATTTCAGCCGAGATCAGTCAACAACGCGAGAAGTCAACCGAGGTCAGCTCAATCTGCCCAGAGCTCATGATCTCGCTGGTATTTTCCGGGGGTAGATAACGTTTCGTTAGACAAGCAGGCGTTTTGTTGCGCTAGTTTCCCTACTACCTAGAGCTGCAGATCAAAATAGACAGGGACAGGGTATTCTGTGGAAAAGATTTCTAGAGCCTTCTATGGCGCCTTCTATGACAGGCGCCTGTAAGTTAGAGGTTCATCGACAGGAACGAATATAATGGAAATCAGATGGAATAGTAACCTTTTGCTCATAACTAAAGTAAGCCAAAAACAAATCCAACCTGGATTTGTTTTTGGCTTACTTTAGTTATGAGCAAAAGGTTACTATTCCATCTGATTTCCATTATAATCATAATCATGCTCAAAAAAACGTTTCACACCATTCAATGACAGGAACGAAGCTGAATATCGAAGTTGAAAATCGGCTGAATTGAAACTTAGAATTGTGAATGAATTCGGTGTAGCAAAGGACATCTTTATTTGCCTCTAAAAACAAAAATATCTTTTTTTTTTGTTCTATCTATTTCATTTAATTTCATTCGGATATAACATTGGCGCATGGACAGGACAGGCCTTGGACATTGGTAGTCCTCAACGAGCTGCGATATTGGAGCTCCAGTGCCATCATAAAGATCCACCTATCATGATAAGTCTCGCTCACTGCCAGACTCAGGGGCATAGTTCCACTGCCACGTGCTGACACGAGCTGCTAAATGGCTGGCAATGTACCAAGCTCCCCGTCATACAAGCATTAGGTTTTGTGGTCGAGACCGCTGCCAAAAGCCGTTCCGGCGTGTGCCAGGTTTATGCGCGGACAGTCTCTTTTTGTTGTTTTTTTTTAATTTTTTTTCCTTAGTTTGTTTGCGGTCCAGGTCAGTAGCGGCGGAACACCTTCAATTAGGGGGGGGGGGGAGCACTGTCGACTTTTGGTCCCATTCTTTACATGCAACGCCCATAGGGCTAAAGTTAAAATGACAAAAGCAAAGGGTGCCCCGGTGCCCTCCCCGTTCCGCCGCCTATGGTCCAGATAAGCCGTTCTGGGCAGCAGTTTTAATACGATTTTTTTTGAAAATTAAGTTAGTGAGCGAAGGCTTATTCCGAGGAAGAACTTCAATGATGGACAAAGAACAGGTTTCCTAGTCCCTACTCCCTAGTCAGTAAATATGGGGCTTTTTTGGGAGGGAGACACTGAGTCGAATGCGTGCAGACTCCCTGAATTGTCACTTGCCGTTCGGTGTTTGCGTTGTACCTTTGTTGCGTCTTTTTCACACTGACATTGCCCCCATTGGATGAAATAAGAGAGCCCCACTCCACAAGATATCCAGTACTGGATATCTTGAGCAAGTAAATGCTTACAAATACATTCTTATATGCCTTTGGCTGCAAATTTAGGTACGATATGCATATTTTACTTCGCCCATTTATCTGACATGCTTACTGCAATAATGGTTTCCTGGTTGTTACCACGAGCTTATCGTTCTCTGTTGATGTCGTATGCTAGTTTCAGTCCATACTCCGTGGGTACTTCTTTAATCTTTATCGCTAACGACCTGCGTATCGTTTACTATTCAAGCATATATCGCTTTTTGTTTTATCCTGTAATACCGGTGACTGATGCGGTAGTTACATCGTCACGTAACGCACTGATCGGTGAATTGTTGAAATGTCTCTTCTTGCGCTACTAGCTTTCAGATTCCGTGAATCTCCTTCATTAGAATTTAGGGTTCGCTGTCTAGATGTTCGGTGATTATGTGGTGTTTGTGTATGCACCAATTATTCCTTTAAGTCACTGATTTTATCGACCACAGTATAGCCCTTCTAGTCAGTTCCGCGGATGCCCTGGGTCGTATCTTCAGTGCTTCAATGCTATCGCGAAATGTTATTCATTGTTATTGTGAGGTAGATGTTTGAAAAAAAATACATGGACAGAGCCACTAGCCACCATTTGGTCGAAAAGGTATTGGGTAAATACCTAGTATAAGCTACTTACGACTTACAAGCGATACTTTACTTAGGTATTACCTACTCACCTATTGTGTGAATTGTGAAGTCAACGACGAACTGAAACTGGTGTTGAAGACATCGTAGTTGAGGTAGTATTTAATCAGACATTTACACTCCTGTCACAAATACAAATATAACTTGACTTTCTTCCCGCACTGACAGTGCGATCGATGCGGGAAGTCCATGCGAGTGATGCGAGTGATGCGAACTTGTGAGTTGTGTTGATGGAGCTTGCGGGATATGCGATTTTTATATGCGAGTCTTGAGAGTCGTGGGAGCGACGAGGTAAGGGCCATTTTCAGTTTTGACTCGGGTGTGGCAGCTAGAAAATCGGGGAGGATGCTGGAAACAACGGCACGTTATGAATGGAATTGAACCAACAGTCTGCTACCTCATCTCGGTAGCATGGATAATAGAGCCTGAAAAAAACGTATTTTATCGTGAAAGGCGTTTATTTGATAGCCATTGATTAGTGATCTCAAATACTTACACGTCTATGTCTAAATACTTACACGTCTATGTCTTTGCCACATGTTTTCATTGAGGGCTCCGGTAAAAAAGCTTGTATTATCCAATTTTTTCTTTTGTAGTTACCCCGACCACTGATGCGGTCTAGCAGCACCTGTTTCACCTGTTTATACGGGAGGGCGGCGGCAGCTGTGCTCTGCAGGTGGCCACAGGTGTACTGTGCTGTGCGCGCCGCTGGCCGGCTCGCCAAGCGTCGGTGACCCAGCTCGCAGCGTCGGTGACCCAGCGCCCAGCGCCCTGCTGTCGGTTCTCGAGCGGGAGACTGCAGTAACGACCACCACGGCCACTGCGACCAATGTAGCGGCGCAGTGAACCGCGCAGGTGAGTTGGTCGAGATGTGTTGATGTGTTTATTTCGTGCTCAGTGCCCATGGGCCATGAAATCACCCATTTGATGGATTACTTGCTTAAAAGATTATCAATCAAGGGTGGAACTTTGTGCCGAGCTGGGAGGGCCCGGGCGCAGCCGCCGCCGCCGCCTTAGCAGTGACCTTGACCGCCGTGTGTTGCGGCCCCAAAGCTAAGCCAACGTGGAAATGGAACAGCTCGGGCCCTCCCAGCTCGGCACAAAGTTCCACCTGTTATCAATGAATGGTGCTCGTTTCCTACATTTCACCACCAATGAGGCAGCTTTTTCGAGCAAACGTTTTAATATTCTTTGAATATTTTCTGTGAAGTGTCCGAAGAATAAACTGCATAAAAAGGTAACACGTAAAAAACAAGGCCCAGCATTGAAGAGTATTGCGTCCATTGGCCCATCCGAAAACACTATCCGTCTCTGGGACTGGGATGGGCCGGGGCTCGGGACGCACAGTGGTAACTGGTAACCCATTTCCGTCCGCCGCTGTGTCGCCGTTCAGGGTCGGCCACTCAGCAGCTGACAGGACCGGTCGGCGGGAGCTGGTCGCTATGACAACGCCGCCTGCGGCGCCGGTAGGCGGAGCCGGCCGGAACAGTGCGGGTTCGCGCTCTCACGGCGCACGGCGGTGACGCATTGAAGCACCGCGCGGCCTGACGTGCCTACCTGGGACAGGTGCGGATGTGACAAACGGCCGTGCGACGTCGGGGGGAGACTGTTGACAGAGGTGAACTGTACCCTACAGCTGTTGATTCATCTGTGTTGGTGTTGTGACGCGGTGGAGCACGTGACCGTTTATCCGGCAAATGAGGACACGTGGCGCGAGTGGTGCGTGTCAGTGAGCCGTCTGCGGGGTCTGTGTGACAACTGACGCCACTCGCCGCGGTGCTGGCCGTGCGGTTGGGGGAATGGTGCGGTGACGGCCGGCCCGCGGCCGCTGCCGACTGTGCTCTGTTGAGGCGGCGAGCGGTGAGCGCTGGGATGCCGGAGAGCGTTGGTACACCAGCGTGACGCGGCTGCTGGTGGAGCCATGCTGGTGACGCTGCTGCTGTGGCTGGCGGCGCTGGGGCCGGCCTACGTGATGAGCTGGAAGGGCTGCTGGGCGCTGATGGACCTGCTGCTCCTGCCCAACGACCGATGGCTCTCCGCCGTCGTCTCGCTGGCGATCGGCGTGGCCGTCGGCTTCCCGCTGGTGTTCATGCACCGCCCTCTGACTGAGGCATCGGCGGGCCGGCGGCTGGTGCTCGCGCTGCACCACTTTGTCGGTCTGGAGGTGCAGGTGCTGCTGTGGCGCGGCGGCTGGATACTGGCCGACCTGGTGCTCGGTGTCCGCTCGCTGGGCGGCCCGCTGGCCGGCCTGGTGACGGCCGCCGTGATGGCCGGCACCGGGTGTCTGCCGACGGCCGGCACCGCGCCGCCGGTGCCGCACCGGCGCGGCGCCGAGCCGGCCGCCGCCGAGGCGCCGCCGGCCGCGCGCGCCCTCCTCACCCTGCTGCCGGTGCTGGCCGCCTGCGTGCTGGTCTGGCACGGCGCCTGGGACGCGCTGGACTCGTGGCTGCCGCCGAGCGCGCCGCTCTGGCAGACGGCCTCTCTGCTGGGCGGCAGTGCAGCGGCGCTGGCGGCGCTGCTCACGCTGCCCCACGGCCTGGGCTGGGTGGCCAGCGCCGACGCCGCCGAGGAGCGCCCTCACCGGCTGCTGCGGAGACTGCGTGAGGACTTGCTGGCGGCGGCGGTGACGGTGGCCGTGGTCGGATACTGGAAGGCCCTGTTCGACCTGGCGGCGCGCCTGGCCGTGCCCGGCTACCCGGGCCTGTCGGACGCCACGCTCATGGTGACGGGCTTCGTGGTGGTGGTGCTGGCCGATCACTCGGCACAAACGTACGCTGTCGGCCGGGTGACCTGGAGCACGGGCGACCTGCGCTGGCTGCAGCCGTTGGCCGATGAGCCGGACGAGGGCGGACAGCCGCTCCTGACGGGAGACGCGATGCCGTAATGTGGTGCAGTCGCTATATGCTCGACAGTCGACAGTAACGGCCTGTCGTTCAGTTCGTTGCGTTCTGAACGGATAATCACCCTGTGCGAGGTTGTTATTTTGGGCGTATTTGAGCTGCGTCTTTTGTGAATACCGTTTTAGTCGTTTTAGTGTTTTTATCCAAGAGGCTTGGTGAATACTACAAGCAAGTTCATAAACCATGAGGCCTTGCATGAGGACGAGGTTATGCAGACCAAGATTCCTTTACTACTCAGGTTGGTTCACTAGCCCGGCCGGGCCCGGGGGGTAATCCCAACCACCGCAGCCCGGGGGGGGGGGGCGTTTTTCGCCCCCCCTGTCTAACTCCGTAAATAAGGGAGCTACGGAAACAAAAGCGATACCAAACGAAAGGTCCTTACGAGACGATTCTAATGCACCTAAAATTTTTGACCTCAGGTCAATTTTCAAGGTCAGAGGTCAAGGTCAAATGCCAAAACCGGTACATGTGTAGTGATCTCAAAGTAAGCCTTCTAGAGGACGGCAAGCTGCATCAAACCGGCAAATTTGGGTGTCAAACGAAAGAAGAGAGTCTGAGGATTCTGAAAATGTGCTCCAAATCAAAGGTCAAGGTCAAGGTCACGCTCAAAATTGACCTCAAAGTTGGCACTTTTTCGCACATCTTGCGTGCTAACTTCCAAGATGTTTTAAAATGTTTTGAGGCTTATCAGTTCCCTATTTGTGGTTCATCTTACGATACAAGGCTGCTCAAAGGTCAAGGTCACAGAAGAGTATCCCTGCTAGAGGCTATTTCACTGATTCAAGTTAGTAATAAAAAATAAGACAATTTTGCCATCCGGAAGCTCTAAATGAAGGCTTAGAGGAAAATAGATGCCAGATTCGTGATCAGCGGGTACAAATCCATCATAAACGACCTTTCATGTGTCAAGGTCAACCAGAGGTCATTCGAGGTCATATGAGGTCAACATGAAACTTGACCTTTTCCGAACAAAATATATATCATTCGACGCGGCTTGACAAGGCGAATGCGATGGTACCACTGCCGTAGCTCTAGGACCATTTTTGTCGAAGTTATTTGCGAAAAACTAAAACCACATTTCGGGGTCGTTGACCTGACCTCTGACCTCAGGTCACCAAAACTATTTTTCTATTTTTCTCTAGGTCAAACGCTACACAGCCGTGCTCGTAATTTGTCTTTATCTCTAAAACTCTATTTTTAGCAGCTATTTGAAGTTTGCGTCTGTGACGCCGAAGTTTGCCGTGCAGGGGTCTGGAAAAATGTACCTTGTGACGTCATCAAGGGGGCTAGGTCCAAATTTTTTACTTCAGAAGATGTCAAATTGATGGGAGAAAAGGTACTGAAAGTTTCGCCTTCCTATCCCTAAGCGTTCGGGAGTTATCGCAAATATTCGCCAGGGGGGGCGAAAAACGCCCCCCCCCGGGCCCGCGAGGGCTAGGGAAATAAAGGCGCCGTGGTGACGTCATCAGAGGAAATCCTTCACATTCAAATGAAGGGGTGATTTTAATTGCTGATTTTGGCTCGATATAGTCCTACTTTTTTAGTTTCAGTCCCATTTATCGTAATGAGGCCAATTCATTGTTACATTGGTACATCTTTTGATGACATATAAGCCTTGATTTTTTCTCCAGCTCGCCCGAAAGATGATGAAATTTGCATGCATGCCTATGGGTGAAGGGAGATTCTGCCGCCGTGGTGACGTCACGGTAAAGGGATTCTGGAGCTCGTGAACGGGGGCTGATGCAGACGCAGACTTTCTGTAAGAATCTTGATGCAGACAACGCTACGGTTAAGTTACCATTTAGGCATCCTCTATGGGTTATGATTGCGTCATGTCCGATGACTACAAAGGTACAAATCCTTTTTCAGTGTATTTAATTTGTTTCTTTGGCCGCGAGTTTTGTTCGAGATGAATACAATTGCGGATTTATTTTATGGCTGTAGTTTAGGCGTATTTACATGCGGGTTTCAATTATGGCGCAACAGATACAAGAGATAAATCGCGCGCGCGCGCACGTGGCCGGGTCAAGGTCGAGCCACTATGGTCGAGCTTTTGAGTCTGTCGGCCTTGAGTCTGTCACGTGTGCGAGGTGATGAGAGGGCAGATTCTGCCGCCTGCCACCTCATTTTGTCTATTGTTGTGCTGTAGGCAGGTCAATACTGCTTGTATCCCGTGGTTTCTCTGATCCTCGACAGTGTGACTAATCATGGGAATATATGGAAGAATTGTCTGTAGCTTGCAAGATGTCAGTTTGTCATCGGTGTTGAGAAGTGGGCAATCATTTAGGTGAGTTTTACACTTTCTCGAAAAAAGGTTGTCATGTGGCTGCAGAGTTTCTGTATGAATTCATCATGTCATAACCTCAGTCGTCTAAGTTCCAGGTGTTACTTTGGCCCTGGGTCAATATACTGATCCTGGGGATAATCTAGAATTTGTTACCATTGTGAAATGAAATCAGGCTATATAGAACAACGGGTACACCAACGACGCGGAAAGCGTCCATTTTACCTGGATGAGTTACATCAGTAGGCGGAACTATGGTCAAGCGTACCCATTTTCGGGAACGCATTTTCGTTCCCATGTTTGGGAACGATAAACCCAAATATGGGAACGCATTGAAGCATCGCGCGGCCTGACGTGCCTACCTGGGACAGGTGCGGGTGTGACAAACGGCCGTGCCCCGTCGGGGGAGACTGTTGACAGAGGTGAACTGTACCCTACAGCTGTTGATTCATCTGTGTTGGTGTTGTGACGCGGTGGAGCACGTGACCGTTTATCCGACAAATGAGGACAAGTGGCGCGAGTGGTGCGTGTCAGCGAGCCGTCTGCGGCGTCTGTGTGACAACTGACGCCACTCGCCGCGGTGCTGGCCGTGCGGTTGGGGGAATGGTGCGGTGACGGCCGGCCCGCGGCCGCTGCCGACTGTGCTCTGTTGAGGCGGCGAGCGGTGAGCGCTGGGATGCCGGAGAGCGTTGGTACACCAGCGTGACGCGGCTGCTGGTGGAGCCATGCTGGTGACGCTGCTGCTGTGGCTGGCGGCGCTGGGGCCGGCCTACGTGATGAGCTGGAAGGGCTGCTGGGCGCTGATGGACCTGCTGCTCCTGCCCAACGACCGATGGCTCTCCGCCGTCGTCTCGCTGGCGATCGGCGTGGCCGTCGGCTTCCCGCTGGTGTTCATGCACCGCCCTCTGACTGAGGCATCGGCGGGCCGGCGGCTGGTGCTCGCGCTGCACCACTTTGTCGGTCTGGAGGTGCAGGTGCTGCTGTGGCGCGGCGGCTGGATACTGGCCGACCTGGTGCTCGGTGTCCGCTCGCTGGGCGGCCCGCTGGCCGGCCTGGTGACGGCCGCCGTGATGGCCGGCACCGGGTGTCTGCCGACGGCCGGCACCGCGCCGCCGGTGCCGCACCGGCGCGGCGCCGAGCCGGCCGCCGCCGAGGCGCCGCCGGCCGCGCGCGCCCTCCTCACCCTGCTGCCGGTGCTGGCCGCCTGCGTGCTGGTCTGGCACGGCGCCTGGGACGCGCTGGACTCGTGGCTGCCGCCGAGCGCGCCGCTCTGGCAGACGGCCTCTCTGCTGGGCGGCAGTGCAGCGGCGCTGGCGGCGCTGCTCACGCTGCCCCACGGCCTGGGCTGGGTGGCCAGCGCCGACGCCGCCGAGGAGCGCCCTCACCGGCTGCTGCGGAGACTGCGTGAGGACTTGCTGGCGGCGGCGGTGACGGTGGCCGTGGTCGGATACTGGAAGGCCCTGTTCGACCTGGCGGCGCGCCTGGCTGTGCCCGGATACCCGGGTCTGTCGGACGCCACACTCATGGTGACGGGCTTCGTGGTGGTGGTGCTGGCCGATCACTCGGCACAAACGTACGCTGTCGGCCGGGTGACCTGGAGCACGGGCGACCTGCGCTGGCTGCAGCCGTTGGCCGATGAGCCGGACGAGGGCGGACAGCCGCTCCTGACGGGAGACGCGATGCCGTAATGTGGTGCAGTCGCTATATGCTCGACAGTAACGGCCTGTCGTTCAGTTAGTTGCGTTCTGAACGGATAATCACCCTGTGCGAGGTTGTAATTTTGGGCGTATTTGAACTGCGTCTTTTGTGAATACCGTTTTAGTCGTTTTAGTGTTTTTATCCAATAGGCTTGGTGAATACTACAAGCAAGTTCATAAACCATGGGGCCTTGCATGAGGACGAGGTTATGTGAGGTTATGCAGAAGCAGACTTTCTGTAAGAATCTTGATGCAGACAACGCTACGGTTAAAGGAAATAGTTCACTTTCACGAAATTATTTTTTTTTGCAATGGATTTATGATTTTTTATGTTCAAAATGATCAGCAAAGAAAATAAAACCTATTTATAACAAAAGATTATTTTCTATATTTTGATAATAAGAAGAACTTTTCAGTTTCTGTAAGGCACAGGCGATCCAGTATGAAAAGAGCACGGGTCCCGAAAATTCTTCAGAAACTAGAGAAATGATCGCGGCCACCGGCATTTGGGCGATCTGCTGCTGCTGAATGTCCTTATTGATCAGTACGAGAATTTCTCTAGAGTTCTCGTAGATAATTTCTCTAGTTTCCGAAGAATTCTCGGTACCCATGCTCTTTTCATACTGGATGCGAATATATGCAAGGCACACATCCTCAACGCAAGACACCTTTTTCGGGACGAGAAATAGAATATCTTTGCCTAGGGTGATCGTTGGGCTGTAAAAGCTCCTGATTTATGCTCGTCTCAGCCCAGGCTACGGAACTGCTATTCCAGTTCAAAACCCATGTTAAAAGTGAACTATTTCCTTTAAGTTACAATTTGGGCATCCTCTTTGGGTTATGATTGCGTCATGTCCGATGACTACAAAGGCACAAATCCTTTTTCAGTGTATTTAATTTGTTTCTTTGGCCGCGAGTTTTGTTCGAGATGAATACAATTGCGGATTTATTTTATGGCTGTAGTTTAGGCGTATTTACATGCGGGTTTCAATTATGGCGCAACAGATACAAGAGATAAACCGCGCGCGCGCACGTGGTCTTTTGAGTCTGTCACGTGTGCGAGGTGATGAGAGGGCGTTCTGCCGCCTGCCACCTCATTTTGTCTATTGTTGTGCTATAGGCAGGTCAATACTGCTTGTATCCCGTGGTTTCTCTGATCCTCGACAGTGTGACTAATCATGGGAATATATGGAAGAATTTTCTGTAGCTTGCAAGATGTCAGTTTGTCATCGGTGTTGAGAAGTGGGCAATCATTTAGGTGAGTTTTACACGTTCTCGAAAAAAGGTTGTCATATGGCTGCAGAGTTTCTGTGTGAATTCATCATGTCATAGCCTCAGTGGTCTAAGTTCCAGGTGTTACTTTGGCCCTGGGTCAATATACTGATCCTGGGGATAATCTAGAATTTGTTACAATAGTGAAATTAAAGGGACCCTCCCACCTTAACATTAGTTTTGAGTTGAGATAGCCAAGTTTGCGGCCAGGCTCAGAAACCACCATTTATCCTGGTCGCATCCCCCGCAGCTTTATGGTGTTCAAGAAATTTCTTCCCTTTACTTGCAGGGTGGGACCAGCGTGGTCCCTATCTCTTAACCATTACGGGAATCTGATGACGTCATCAGGCTTTTGAACGTCCGTTAAATGTTTGACTAAAACATTTTGTAGCACGCGGTGGTATATGCTGCTTTGCGCGCAACAAATGCCGCACTTTCAAATAAAGTCGCTAGGAGCAGCGGAGATCCCAAAAAGTAAACAAAAGTAAAAGTCTAATATCTTGAAAACTGGTAAATATTTTTCGATGAAATTTGGTAGATATTCGTTTTTGCTCTTTCTGAACCGAGCGACATCACATTCATGCCAATTCATTAACTTTTTTGAAGGTGGGAGGGTCCCTTTAAATCAGGGTATATAGAACAACGGGTACGCCAACAACGCGGAAAGTGCCCATTTTACCTGGATGAGTTACATGGGCCCTGTTTCACGGTGGAGCGCTGCGCCCGTCGGCGTGTTGGGTTTCCATGGCAATATCAACAAACTTCCCTCTGGCGCTACGTTATGACGTCATTGCAAAGCCCTAGCACCCCGGCGCCAGCACCATCCGCACGCTAGCAGTATTCGCACTCAAACTTCTGTTCAATTGGTACTAGGTTCTTCAAGGTCTCTGTTCAAAACGCGATTTACCATAAGCCAACGGATCGCACACAACGTCATTCCCAGTGTCCTGAAATTGATTTTTCGGAGAGTGTGATTGAAGCCGCAAGGACGTCACTATTTCAAAAGGACGTCGATATCGGTGCGGAGCCTAAGCCACTGAAAATCCCTTACCTAAATCTCTTAAAATTAGCGATTTTCACTGGCAATGTTGACTAATAGCACCTCAAGGCATCTCAAATGATCATATATATGTAGACACAAAGTAATGCCAGTTTACCCCTAGTACAATACAAAATTAAATCATTCACCACAAACACCAAAACAACACTTTGAAGATGTCTAGTTCTTGTCCATGATCGTACACAACAGTCAACAACAAATATGCTTCAACAAAAATCAACCCAAGAGCCAGCGGCTATCACTAAATATTGACGTCATAAGAGGGACATTATATCGAGCAAGAGGACTGACGTAAAAAACAGACGTCCAAACAAAGAGGTGGAAAACAGTTCGGAAAATTAATTTCCATAGCTTCCTATTATGAAATTCAATTAAGAAAACTCCAAGTTGGACGCTGAATTTTTCTTGGCTGGAAAAAATGTGAAATCATTGTGCACTTTTCAGTTTTGTACCGACGTCGATTAAATGGGAATGACAAGGTCAATCGACGTCCCCAACATTGCGTGTATTTTTTAAGCCAAGGACGACATACTTGAATTAATACTGTTGAAATTCGGTAACTTTATTTTAATTCAAACAAATAAACACTAAACTTTTTCCCCAACCACTATCAACATATGCAAAATTAACTACTTTTGAAGGACATGTTCCAGGGGCAGCGCTACCCCGTTACTGTGACCTTCTGAGGGGAAAAAATAATTAAATATGTTACAGTAGTTTGATACAAAAGGTATGTTGCGTGCTTATAGATAAATGTCGAATTAATATATTCGCATGATAAATTTTTATCTATACACTCCACAGTTACTAAAACTGAAAAGTGGAAAACGATGTCCTCAGATCCCTCTATTCCGACATCTTTTCTCCTTCATATGGCAGCTATTACCTTCATATGGTAAAAGAAAACCTATCCATATCTGACGCACAGAAAACGAACATAAAACCGCGTTGTTTACTGTTGCGGCAGTTGGCCAGCGGTGTAGGAAAGGGGAGTTGAGTGTAAGTGGGTTTGTGAGGACTTAGGATATATTTGTTGTCATTTTGCATAGCCGTGTTTTTAGGCTACAGAGGTGATATTTCTTTTTGTTAGTTTGCTTTTGGTGTTCGATATACCTGCCGACTTTTATCCCGATCCGTAAAAAAATGTCAGGGACGTCGTTTGGCTTTCCGGGACGTCACAAAGAGAATCTGTTAAGGTGTGGGTTTCCACCCAAATTCACGAAAATCAGGACACTGGTCATTCCAGTGACGTCTGGTATGCCTCGGCTCCCAATGCGCTGCAGCGCGCAGCGTCGGGCGGTGAAACAGGGCCATGGAAGGTGACATATTTTTTTGAATATGGAATAAATAGAGTATTCCATTCCGACGAGTAAAGCCAAATTCATAATGCAGTTATTTTTAAATTATATGGACCAGAAATAACACTGACCATAGTTTAAAACTTAGAATAAAGTTAAATGAAAAGCCTATAGTTGATACCAAGATGGAAGGAATCTATGGAAGGCGGAAATGGCAAAGCTGTTTAATTCTTAAAATGTGTTTGCAAGCAGGATTTATGTGATGCTAGCGACATCTATTAATGTAATCGGGGATGGTCACTGGCTGATCGAGTCCGTGAGCAGTATCGCTAACTTACGCTAGTACAGGGTTGAGGCAATGTGCGCATGCGCAGGAACTAGCGCCCTCATGGAGGGGCTTTTGGTACACTCGGGTGCAGATTGATGTTCCACCACTCCCTAACCATCGGGCTCCCATGGCTCAGCACTGGCTGCTGCAAGTGGCAGCACTGGCACTGGCAGGCAGTGCTGAGCAATGCTGAGGGCAGGCAACACTGGCAGCAGCCACTGCTGATCCATGGGAGCCCGATGGGTAGGGAGTGGTGACTGGTGGAACATCAATCTGCCCCCGAGTGTATCTCGGGCAGCGCCCAATGCTTTTTGGACCTGTTATGGTCTCCGCGTAAAAAAACGCTAGATAAAAAGGTTGTAGAGGAAGCTTTAGGCTACCTATCCCCACAATAATATTGGCAATTTATCTTATAGCTTACATGTGGGGCTCGCTTGAAAAAGGTCCATTTAACGTGCAAACCCTATGGGGTAGTAGTTTTTGAGCGCCCATTTGGCCTAATGCTACCAACTGTATCTGTAAGAAACTTGGTTACTACAGTTTGCTTATAAACAGCTGACTGCGCTGCGCCAAAGCGTCGGCGTTGCCTTTTCTGCACCACATGCGAGTCGATACGGTAAGTTTGGCTCATATCTGTTGTAGGTAATGAGACATCTTTCTGTAGAAAGTCGATGCGACTAAATGATAAAAAAAAATGCCCCAACTAATAAGCAGTGCTCGATATACATAGGTGCAGGAACAGGGGGGATGGGGGGGGGGTCCACTGTGACCCCACCTCAGAATAGTTTGCAATCACGCCAGAGCTAGAGTTTTTGACCGATCAATTTCTTCTCTTCAGGTTTTAGTTAGGGTACCAGTATGTGCAATTTGTATATCTCAGAATTTTCATATCTGTGACCTGAGGTCAGGCCGGACTCGTGACCTTTACATTGCAAGCCTATGGGAAAATATTGAAACGCCTCCTGCTTCGTGTAAACGAGTTCAAACCACCCAATTCTTTCAGTATTTGGAAGATTATCTCATCGGTGATGATCCTGGTACAGGGACCCGCAGTTGCTACTGTACACATACAGGGTGTCCGGATAGTTCTGGCGCTTTTCAACATTTTCTAAAACAAATGCCATTGGTTCATAGATACTAATCAATGGATCAAAACAATGACCAGGGACACCAAGCCACATGCTTCCGCTACGTGCTCATTCAATGTAACCACCGTCGGCGCCGACGACGGCCTCGACGTAGGGGAGGAAGCGTCTGCGGGTTTTGACGATGCGGGGCATTTCCAGGTCCTCCCATGCTGTCATGATGCGAGTCTTCAGCGACTCCAGGTTGGGGTGAGAAATGGCCTAGATCCTGTTCTACAAAACGCGTAGCACGCCTTAGTCGAGCGGGTCAGGTTAGGAGAATAAGGCGGCCTAATCTCATTTCGCCACGGTGATCTGGCCCGGCAAGCTCCTCTGTCAGTTTAGCTTGAATGGCGGCGGCGTTGTTGGAGGGTGCTCTGTGCTGTTGAAATGCGAAGTGACCCTTAGGGCATGTCGTCTTGACCCTCGGGTTGATGTGGCTGTCCAGGAACCCCTCGTGGGCCAGCCTGTTATTCATTTATTCGACATTGACGAAGATGATGGGACATTTTTGTCCATCAGACCCCCGCACTTTCTTCGATTGCCGCGCTGAAATGCTGCTCCGTTCCCATATCGCGTTCGAAACGGTCTGAGGATATTTTTTAAGGAATCCCCGAGTCGAAATAAACCTTTACCTGCTAAACCATTCATCGAAAAACGCCGCATCGCGCTGCAACTCGCGCCTCGTTCAAGTCGCACCCGGCCGCCGCGCGCAGGCATTCAGCGACAAGGCGCATCTTCGCCCATCTACCCATCACTGAAAACGATTTCAAGGTCATATTTACACGACCCCTGGCTGAGCAATCAACGAGGGGTCATGTCTGTGATGATTGGCTGAATGTCCAATAATCACAGCGCGCGTTACACGGCGTCCAAAAGAAGCGCCAGGACTTTCCGGACACCCTGTATATTACCAATTTAGAATTGCGCTATTATTTGCTAAGTGCTGGCCATTGGAGAAAGGAAATGTAGCGCAAAGTATGGAGGAATAACACATGTTTGCTCCTAGCACGTATGTTTTGTATAATTCCTCTTACCGCAACAGATATTCTTCCAAAACTACAATCGTGCTATTTTTCCGCGCCGGTTGCCTCCCCAGAGCCCGTCCTTGGTATCGCCTATAGCTTCCGTTCCCGCTACGTGAATGAAAGTCACGTGACTACTACAGGTTTGCGC